ACAAATAAGAAAGAAAAGAAAGAAAGAAAGAAAGAAAGAAAGAAAGAACAGAACAGATGTGTGGAAAAAGTAAGGTTTGGTAAACAAATAAGAAAGAAAGAAAGAAAGAAAGAAAGAAAGAAAGAAAGAATAGAACAGGACAGAACAAAACAGAAAAGAAAGAAAGAGAATTCGAACAAGAAAGAAATATGTTTAAACTGAAACATAAGCAAAATAAATAAAAAAAACGCGAAATGCAAGAAATTAACAAGTCATAAAAGAAAGAAAAACGGAAACAAAAAAATAAACAGACAAAAAAGAAAGAAATTAGGAGGAAAATAATAAAAAAATGAGCGAAAAAAAAAGAGAGATAAATGGAAAGAATGAAAAATTGAATATTTCTGTTTAGCGAATCATAATCTCATTCATACAAGCAAATATATTCGCAATTCTTTTTTATAATCTGGGGTTAATATGAAGCCGACTGTATCATGTAACACAATAAAATGATATAATTTAAAAAAAATATGAAACGACACAAAATATCAAAGATTATTTTGTTCGCAATTTAAAACGAATCGGTTCTGGAATTACCATCAAATTAATGTTTCAGTACATGTTGCAAACATATCTTTGAATAATAAACAGTAATTCATATATCGGCAATATTACAGTTTCTGCTTTCAGTAGATACAACCTTCAGCTGGAATCTGTATATTTATTGAATTGTTTGAAAGATCATTTATTTTAATCCGACTATATTGCATGTACGGTAAATCTTAAGCAAATTGAAACATATATTCAGGTTGGCTAACTTTTATTTTCAATCACTAGATATATATTTATACATATTTATTAAACTATATATATATATATATATATATATATATATATATATATATATATATATATATAGATAGATAGATAGATAGATATGATAGATAGCTGATATTAGTGGTAAATATACATACATATGCAAAATATATAAATACCCATACATGTATATTTTTGAATAAAAATTCCAAGAGAAAGAATCCAGGTAGAACTCAATGTCCAGGACAGAGTAAGGTTATAATAAAAGGCTTAAACACTAATATTCCATGGTCATTATTTATTCCATTGGAATCGTAAATACGATCAATTCATCAGACCTACAAATTCAAAAAGCTATATATATATATATATATATATATATATATTTTATACGATAAAATATAATCTTAAAGTATGCTAAAATTATGGGCTAAAATGCTCACTATCAGCAATAGATCGTATATAAATATAAAAGTGGACATTGAAGTCAAGACCCAAAGGTGACAATCTGTTTCGTGGTTAAACGCAATCGTCAGGCCATATGCATATGCAGCGTTTAATCATGACACAGACTATTGCCTCTGGGTGTTAAATTCAATGTCCAATATATATATATATATATATATATATATATATATATATATATATATATATATATATATATATAATTTTTCGTTTAAAACGTTTATTTAATTTTTCTTGTGTTCTTATAAGTTTCTTCTTTTCTGAACATCCTTGTTAACGGCTAAAAATATAACCGGAAGCGCTCCGACATATTAAACATTCAAACAATTTCAGCAAAATTTATGTCTAGAAAAATAGAAAAAAGAGTAGTGAAATAAAAAAAAACTTAAACGCAGTAACTTGTCAGTCGTTTTTAATTAAACTTGTATACACACACACACACACACACACACATATATATATATATATATATATATATATATATATATATATATATATATATATATATATTCAACTATGAACACGGCCACAACGTGCTGATCGTGTCTGGAAGATTAAAAAAATCTTTCCCATCACTATAGATATACATATATGAAAATTTATTCAGTTAAAATGCAAAAAACTAGATAATGTTTAATAGAACAGCTGAAAGTGTTCAGATATCGAGAACATTTGAAAAGGGGCACCTCGAGGCTGTGTAATGGTTAGAAGGCTTGTCTCGTTAGAAAAATTACGACTGATTAGTGAGTTCGATCCTCACTGGGTGTCCCATACTTTCGGCCTTGTGCCACATCGAAGCTACGCTTGGAAAAGCACTATAGAACGTTTGTACAGTTTTTACACACTATGTATAGAAATATAAAACGATTATACCAACACATTCTTAATCGCAGAATGTTGTCATTCCCCTTCAATGAAGCTCCTATAAAAGTGGGCCTTCTCCCCAAACACACAATATATATATATATATATATATATATATATATATATATATAGTATCTTGATTCTCTTTAGCAAACCATAAATCACAAATTTTCTTACTCTTAGAACGCTTGTTTGGTATTCATTCTCTGAACTGCTTATTTAATAGAATGGGTAATTTTGCTGCATTCCTTTCTACTTTTACTTTCACATTAAACACTTAGCCGATATTACTGAAGCACTTCTGATTGTACAACGTTCTAATCGACTGTAAATCTTTTCATCACCGAAACCTGTTAAAAAGCGTTCTGCTGGATTGGCCCGAAAAAATATCAATTTTATTGCTAATACTCTTAGATAAAGATTTCTTTTTTTATCGAGAGATGAATTTTGAAATCCTTGGGGAAAATAAAGAAAGAATGATGATTAGATAGAAGATTAAGAATCTTGGTATATAAACCGATTCCATATAGAAATATTGTGTCGGTATGAAACTAAAACTCTATCCTGAAACAAAAAGAAAAAAAATAGTTTGCACAAAATCTTTCAGAAAAGTTTCATCCGTAGTACATTGGGAAGGAAAGAAAAAAAACGGTTGTAAATCAACTGTAATTTTAAGAGATTTCCACGTGTATGTGTGTATCTAGCCAACAATAATCCAATCCATATTCAGTTTCCTTTCTGTGTCTAACATCAACACGGCGTTATCTGCATGTCACATGCTGTTAAAATTGTTCCCACTGATAAGTCCTTGAAGGACTTCTAGCTCTCTTGGGATTGTCTCGCTGTAAAGGTTGAAAAAATTCATCCCTGGCATACGCCCTTTTCTATTTTTGGGTACTTAACTCACTTTGCATATGGATATATGCAGGCGGTTTGCTCCCATTGTATATTCTGGATTATTCAAATGTCCTTTCCCAAGTAAATCAAGCTTACCTAGCAGTTCAAATAGGTCTTTGTACCATACAATATGAAATATAAAATTTATATATTTATACAATATAAAATATTTTGCGTAGTGTAGGAAGAAAAAGTATATGTCCTTTAACTCTTTTTATTCAGGGGACATTAAAAATTTTCTTTTCTTGCTCTTGATGTTGTTACCATGACATTCAGGTTTTTCGAAAGACCAGCTCTTCAAGTTTCATTAGGTGTATAATCCCTAAGAAAAGACGAAAAACAACTTCGGAAAACGGCAATGGTAGCTAATATTCCACATGTTACGTTACACCGTTTTTTGATTTTGTTTTTTTACCGAAATTTTTATTTCCTCAGATTAAGTTAGATCACTAATTCTGAGAGTAAGATAATATGAAATTCACTAACAATGGCGTTCCAGACTAAAACGCGCGCTACATCTTACTGGAGTAAGAACTTAGTGGAAAGAAGGATCGGTGAGTTCAAATTCCTGACGAGTCTGTTAGTCCCTTTTGCACAGATGCATAGGTATAGATCCATATCTTCTCCAACTTAAATGTCAGTGTAAACTGGGATCTCTATCCTTGAGTGGCGACCAGTCTAAGCGAAGGAAATCTTTGAATTTCAAAACCGAGGAGCAAGCAGCAAGAAACTACTCCAATATCTTTCCCATGAACATATGTCAGTTCCCAGATAATAATGAAACATGTTCGTCTACATCCCAAAGGGATATGACATTAAAAAAATAGAGTTACTACAGATTATTATTATGTATAAACAGAGAGACACACTAAGACTCACATATGTGTGGAAAATGCTTTCTGTATTTTAAAGCCTTTTTTTTATAAAGCACATTTTATGAATTCGCATGTGCAACATTGAACATGATACTTAACTTATTCTTGCTTGTTTTAGAATCGCAGGGATGCTTTTTTTCATAAGATTCTAAGGGATTTAGTTGAGTTTTACGTGTTTTGTTATTTTTATAAAACATTAAGTTATTAATTGCTGACGGATCTTTTCTACTTTTGAAATGACACAATAAAGCTGCCTAATAAGATTTAACTTTCACTAGCTACCATTTTAACAAAGGATATGTTATGTGTTTGTCCACATCTTAAGAATTGGATGAAGGAAATCAATTAATAATATAAAGAAACATAAATATAAAATCAATAAAATTTGTAATATTCACTAAATCGTCCGCTTCACACTCCTCCACGTTCTTTTGAACAGGAGTAGATGTTTATCCCTTGTTTCCCTATTAGGATTGGGTTTCCACTTCCTTCTGAAGTCTACTTCAACTCTATACTTGTAAAATCTCCACTTGAATTCTGAAATTTCATTTACTAATTATTTTTTCCGCCTCTATCGTCCGGTTCACACTCCTCCGTGGTCTTTTGAACAGGAGTAGAAGTTTATACCGTGTTCCCCTATTAGGACTGGATTTCCTGTTCCTTCTAAAGTCTACTTCTCACGCCTGAAATCTGGAATTTTGCTTACTTATTTCTTCTCATCAATTAGAGTAGACAGGCTCGCATATCACCCGATTCACACACCTCCGCGGTATTTGAACAGGAATAGTGGTTTTTCCCTTCTTCCCTACTTAGAATCTGATATCCGGTTCCTTCTAGTTTTTTTCATTCTCTTTCCCTCCCAGTAGCCCATGCATCTTAGTGGCATTATTGCGTTGCTTGGGGTGAATTGATATATAAATATATGAAATGTATCCATAAACGATTATTTTAAGCTAGATAATTTATCCAGTGATACAACTTTCAAAACGGATACACTAATCACGTATCCTGATAAATATGGTGCTTAGTGAGATCAACGAAAGAAAGAAAGAAAGAAAGAAAGAAAGAAAGAAAGAAAGAAAAGAAAAGGAAAAAAGAAATATACATGGATAGGAGTAAATAGGTTCACCTATCGTCCGGTTCACACTCCTCCCCGGTGTTTTGAACAGGAGTTCCCTTTTTAGGATTTGGTTTGAGGTTCCCTTTAAAGACTTTATCTTCACTTTCACTCCCAGTAACTCTTTGCGTCTTAGTGGTGTTATCGCCTTGCTTGAGGTGAATAGATTTTTTTTTAAATTATCGAAGTATACTTCATGTCATTAAAGTCAAATTATGTTTCATAAATTTTAAAACTGTATTAAATGTATCTGACCATGTAACCGAAACAGAAAATTGGAATTATCTTAAAAATCTAAGAATGTTATTTTATTAACTTTTTAAGAAAAAAAATTAAACTTATGTGTCAAATGTAAGAATAATCCAGAATCAATATGGGCGTAATCTTAACAATATAAGTTATGACACTTATATTGTACAGATTACGCAAAAACATTTGACAAGGATATATTTAAACTGCTAGGAAAACTTGATCTACTTGGAAAGGATATTAGAATAATTCAGAACATATACTGGGGGCATACTGCCTGCATACGGATAGGAAATGAATTCAGTAAATATAAAAAATAGGAAGGAACTTAAGACAAGGATGCATCTTCACTCCAGATTTATTCAACTCTTACACGTAGTGGTAGAAGAAAACGAGATAAAATGACTAAATATCAGCTGCAAAACAGAAAGTATGGTCATCACCAAGAGAAAAAGGCCAACATGCGACTTACAAATTGGAGATATAAACATCAAACAGATGCAGAAGTTCAGATATCTGGGAAGTGTTTTAACAGAGGAGAAAAAATGGAGACCGTGATACGAACGCGCATTGAACTAACGAAAGAAGCATTCCAAAAGCTAAGCAAGGTGCCGAGAAACAGAAATATTTCTTTAGAAACAAAGAAAAGAGTACTGGATTGCTATGTGTTATACATCCTATTATATGTGAGTTTGAGGCATTTCGATGTTGTGTAAGAGTTAGCAAGCTTGTCTTGTCAGATCCATTACGACTGAGTAGTGAGTTCGACCCTCACTGGGCACTTAACACTTTTGTGCCATATACAACTTACACTTAGAAAATCATTTATGGACACTTCGAGGTGGTATAATGGTTAGCAAACGTGTCTTGCTAGATCAATTACGAGTGAGTTTGAGCTTCACTCAGTGCTCCATACTTTAGGCCTTATAAATCGCTGTTATTTGGCAATAAATGTTGGAAAATTTCTCCACGAATGAGGAAAGAAAGAAGGGCAGCAAAAATGTGGTTCCACAGAACGATACTGAAAATTCCATGAACGGAGCGAGTAAGCAACAAGGAAGTCTTGAAGAAATTGGTAACAGAATGAACACTTCTACTCAGAATCAGGAAAAGACAGCTGAAATTCCTTGGATAGCCAATGAGGAAGGAAGACTTGGAAAACTTAACCATCAACTGATATAGTGAGGACGAGAGAGATAGGGAAAAGCAGTCAGCCATTTACCTGACGACCTTGTGCGAATGAAGGACGGAACTGGGGGGGGGGGCCTTTGCAAAAGGAGAAAAACTTCTAAGGGACACACGAGATAGAAAGTCGTGAAGACCCATGAACGGCTTTGTCTTGAAGAGACGTGGCACATAATCAAAGAAGTATGATCATTTGTGGTGAATATCACGTAAACAAACAGCGTCACGTTTTGTACAACATAATTAACATTTGTGTCTTCTCCTTCTAATCATTTGTGGCCCCATTTGAAGAACATCATTATAATCAGCAGCATCAGCAACATTATTATTATTATTATTATTATTATTATTATTATTATTGATATCATTATTTTCCCCGTCACTCTATCAGGAATATTATTTCCGGAATGTTGCAGACGATATGGCAACGCATTTGAACATTCGATGCTCAAAATATGTTGAAGTGTTATTCAGAGCAGAATAAATCGAGAATGGATATTCGTAAAATTTACAAGAAAGTTTATTTTTAATTAAAATTTTTCTCACTATATATCCGAGAGGCTTGAAATTCGGTCAAATAAATATTTTTATTATGAGAATGGTCTGCTTGCTTCAGAAGACAGTTAATATTGCTCGTTATTTCCGAATATTTGTTCATTTATCGATCTGCTCGAACAGTTCAGCGTTCCTGTTGGTGGCCATTTATTTTTGTGATCTCTTCGTTTCTCGCGGTTTATGCGAGACATCTACAGGATATCATGGCGAAAACCACAAAAACTGCTTATCGTTTAAAGCGTTTTGATGCAAAATAAGTTCATTCTTAATTATTTTATCAATGATTTTCCAAAATATTTTATTGTAATTTCTTTGCCGTTTGACAAAAATCGACATAGCTAAAAATCATACAAAGTGTAAATATTCAAAATTGTCTTTATACACTCTTAAAATATAATTTCATTATATAACCATGGCCAATACTATGTATAAGGTGAATATTAAAAATTCATAATAAATGTGGTATTTAATGTCATTAAATGTGAATATTAAAACAACACATCTATTAAAATCTATCTTCTTCTATCGTTCTATGTTAAGAAGAAACAGCTGAAATCTCTAGACGACATAATGAGGAAAGAGGGCATGAAAAATTTGATACTCACATGACAAATTGAATGCAAGAAAGAGGAAAACAACGCATAACCTTTCAAATATTTATTAGGAGCTACAAAAGACAGGAAACTGTGGAGATCCATGATCACCAACGTCCTGAAGGGAAGCGGCACAAAGTAGTAGTAGTAGTAGTAGTAGTAGGCACGACAGTCCACAAATTCCTATCCTTGGTAGACATTTCCTAGATAGTTAAATTGCTAGACTTGATTTATTTTGACATGCCCAATTCGTAATTTGTATCTTAGGTTAACTCTTTTGTTGATGGCCAGACATTGATTGTTAGACCTTTTTCTCACTTTCTTTTTGTCTAGGAGTCTTCAGTCTTCTTTCTGTGTCTGCCATTAACCCGGTATGCTGTTAAAATTATGTCCTAATAAGTACTTTTAGGATCGCCTCGCTGTTAAATAAATCCGGTGAAAAGACACATCGACGTTTTCTATTTTTGTGTAAATCTTTATTAATTACTAAGATAGAAATGCAGCGATACAGAAGTTGTTAATAGCATCGGTAGATACTGCAAATGTTACTATTTTAACGCCAACCACCTTTCGTTATGTTTATTTAATTTTAATAATAGACATTTTGATCCGGTTTTTATAAGACCTGTAATACTTCTATCGTATTAAAATGAAAATGTTTTGTGTGAACAACTTCTAACAACGTTTGACGGCTTCTAACAATGTTATTATAGTGCCCCACTCACTCTAACGTTCCTTAAGGCATTGGGCCTTGAAAAACTGGGATAAGCAAATTCCCTGCGAACGTGAATGTTTCAACGCTCTTTGACTATGCTCTCTCTCTCTCTCTCTCTCTCTCTCTCTCTGTAGGCAAAGCTTCGTAATTTTGAGTTCTGACGAGATTACGCATGTTTCAGTGTCATCATTACACTCTTTATCGGGAAGCAGAATGAACCAAAATGGACACCGGCGCATTACTAGTCGAATACCTTAGAAAATTGATTGCAACATTGGAGAATTCCAATTTCTTCTTGAGCAAAGTTCTGCATCTGCTAGTCTTTCTTTCTCTCTATGTTTCTCTCTCTGACACACACACACACACATACACAAGTACACAGACTCATGATAATAATTTCAGTTCTTTGATGCCTAAAACTACGATTGTTTTTAAACAGTACGAGTTTATTTGCTAAAAAGAAATCAATAACCCATTCATGAGCGAGTTAAATACGAAATATTATTTCATAAATTTTCGTGTTCCAATTCGGACAACTACGCATCATTCTTTAAAATTGATATTATTTAACTGTTAGTTCAAATCTTGCAAACAATTTCTGCAATCAGAGACGCTGTTATCTATAATAAAAAGATATGTAACGAATCGCAGAGCCGCTATGTTAAGTATGTAAGGCTCTACTTCAGCTTGAAAATTACTAAATATTGAATGATTTCATCTATAAAATGAACCCTTAAACGTTGGGCATCATGAAATGATGTTTCACTGGAGATCAGTGAATGTCATCAATTGGTTATTTAAATTTTTTCATCTACGCGGGTTTCATTCATAAATGACTAATTTGTAACAATTAGATTTATGAGGTTATGTCATTTCCTGAAGTATTTGCCTACAAATAAAGCTGGAAGAACAAGCCAAAGATATGTCTGCATACATATTCCTCAAAGAGAAAAAAATGAGATTTGGCACAACTCCATTCGGCATAGAAAAATTAAATTTTAAAAATAACATTTGTTTTCTTTGTTTTTATAATCTAAAAGAATTAAAATATCATTTTTATGGTTTTGTATGAGATAACGAGATATATTTTTATATATCAAGAACAATATTGGGAAAATGCGTGACAAAGTAGAAAAAGTTTTCTTGTGACGCGTTTCGTCCTTCGGGAATAAATATGCGCACGAATTAGGGAATTTTAAATTTATTTATATTTTTTTAATCGAACCTATTTCATTTATATTCTTTTTCTTTTTTTTCCATCACTGTTAGCAGGTATTCCGCATTGTGGTAATAAAATTTCTGCCAGTAATGATGAAATGTTATAAGAGTCCGGGTGTAAATTTACTGTAGATGACTTTGCGATCAAGGCTCTCTCTAGACATTTTCGGCGTAGTTAATTGTTTTCTTTTCTGATCAGAGTGGCATTTTTTATCAACGCTTCTAATGTATTGTTTTGAAAAATGTTCCTTTTGTGTTCATATAATCTTTTATTTAGATTCACTGACGTTTCTCCTATGGATTTTTTGTGACAATTACAACAGGCGATCGAGTAAATTCCTCCCTCAAGTCTTCGCTTATTCTTTTGTCTACTATTAACTAAATCTTTTATTGCTTTAAATGTTTGTAATAACAAATTTGATATAGAGTTTAGATAAGTTCTTTTCAATTGTAGATTTAATAGAGTTGATTGGTA